TAAAATGATCTCAAAACTGTGACTTTTAGAAAGCTGACTGTTCTCTCTTTGAAAAGCATCTTTTCTACACTATAAAGGAACAGGATGGGTCACTCAAAGGTATTTGCTTGATGACTGCTGGGGTGATTTGAGTGAGAATCCCCCCTTCCCATCCTCAGATATTTGAATACTTGTGCCCAGCTGGTGAAACTGTTTGGGAAGGATTAGGAGGCGTGGCCTTGTTGAAAGAGGTGTGCCACTGGGTCAGGCTTGGAGTTTTCAAGACTTACATCAATATTAACTTCCTGTCTCTGCCTCCTAGTTATGGGTCAGTATGTGAGTTCTCAGTTACTACTCCAGCATCATGCTTGCCCGATGCCATACTTCCTTGTCATGATGGCCATGGACTCTAACTCTGCAAAACCTCCCAAATAAACTCTTTAAGAAGTTGCCTTGGTCCTGGTGTTTTTTTCACAGTAATAGAAAAGTAACTAAGACAAATGTGACCTATTTACATCAGTCTCTAAGAGCTAGGAATGGTACTGCATGAGTATCATAATCCCAGCACCCAGAATGAGGAGATCAAGGCAAGCCTGGGCTACATAGACTCAGTCTAAAACAACTCAGCGTCTAAATGTAGCTATGCACTCACTTATACCCAAAATCCATTCTGGGTAAACTCTGAGATGCCACTGACTGTAAAGTGTGTCAGTATTTAACCTACAAATAACAGGGAGTAGAAATGTTAACTAGAAATTCTTGTATTAGAGATGTTAAAACAAGTCTGAGCATGGATGGATAGATGGGTGTCGTCCCTGACAACCTGGTTCTTTTACTCCAATCTTGGGTGTCAGAGCAACTCTACTCCTCAGTATCTGGGGACCTTGGGAAAAATGCTTCTTATAAACTGCAAGCCTCTGACATGAACAATTCCGACTGTTTACTCTGTTATTGACAGAATTAAACACGACCTTGTTCTAGTATTAAGCAAGTGCCTAGTGCTTGCTTAACTGTCTCGCCGATGCTGCTACTACAATTCTTGCAAGCATGGAAATCAAGACGTTAATGATTCTTAAATGCCTTTCTTTAATCTGAATGAGCTCGCCTAGTCTCAGTTGCCAAACCCTGAGACGTTATTTGAAGTAAGCAGTCATGGCTCTGCTTCCCTAGTGCCTGAGCTCTCTAGAAACCGAATGAAATCATCTTCTAAGATGGAGCCACAGCACCCTCCTGAACTGAAGAACAGCCCAACCCGAGGAGCTGATGATTCAAGTACAATGGGTAACAGCCTGCATAATGCTTCGCATGACATTTCCATGCTCCCGGCTCATTTTTGCTTAAAGCGAGAAACCCACCCACCATCTGCTTCCCTGCTGGCTCCTTAAGATCCCGAGGTATTGAGCTGTCGACCTTTGCCTGGGAGAAGTAACGCAACTGAGTACCCTGCAGTCGCTGCATGTTTCTAGACAGCTGGTGAGCTCGGCTAACAAGAGAAGGAAGTTGGCCTCCTCTGTGGACCAGGCCTCCGTGGATGAGTCACTCACCACTGTACATGGAGGACAGCTATGGACTCAAAGACTGCTAAACCACAGTCACAACCAGCAGTGTTTCCTGAAGACAGCCCCGGAGCAAACACAGGGCCGGATGGGAAATCAGATGACACCCAGATAAGTGGCCCAGAAAACAGTCCCAGACCACGGGCAGCTCCTCAATCAAATCAAAGCTTTCCTCATCGCTACTCTGTGAGTAATTACAGGGTAGTGAACGCACAATGAAGATTTATTTTCACCCTAAAAACTGTCAAGACTTAAAGTATAAACACATGACAGTTATTATCTAACAATGAAAAAATTAGCACTTAATTAATCAAGGCTGTGTTGCCAGAATTTTCTGTCAGCTTTAATCATTTTTTTTTTTCTTTACCTGAGTCTTGGATTCCTGACTGCTTGTTGACAGATAACCTATAGTTTCATAGAGATGAAGATGCTTACCCCGTTCCAAAGAAGACCATGTTTTTAAACTGAAAAGCTCACAATACATCATTAGTATGTAAAGTAGGGGAGGGTGGCCTAAGATGACACCAGTATCTATAATTCTTGAAAGAGCTGGAAGTAACATCCTAAGTGCTCCATAAATGATCATGTGGTGAGCTTAATAAAATACCAGTTCCCACTGCTCTAGGCTTCTCTATGAATTATGATCCACATGTGGATACCAAACCCAACCAATTAGCTGTCAAACCCCAACTTTGTGTCTGGACACTGGGGTCTGAGTTCCACAAATACAATTTCAGCTTCCCGGGTTGCAGGGTAATTTTTATTCTGTGCCTCACAACTTAGTTAAGAAAATGAGTATTTATTAGGCTTTTAAAATTAGAAATAAATATAAAACATACTTTTATGGGCACTTAGAAAAACAGGGCCTTGGTTAAATTAAAACCTTCACAATAGGCTCTAAGGAAGATGTCACAGAGCTCGAAGACATGTCACAAAGACTGGCTAAAGTAGCACGACTTTGCTCTCTGAAAGTGTCACTCCCCTAGGCTAGCCTTTAGCAAGCCATAAATTCTGGATGTCATGTAGTCCAATACCAGTATATTGATGCACGTGGAGAGCAAGGGCTGGAGACCGGTACCCATGGTAAAATGGCAAAAGCTCAGAAGATAAACACTGGGAACTGGCAGGTCCCTGAGCAGGGAGTCTCTGGGACACCTGAGATGTCGCATGGCTAGGGGTGGCTATAAAGGAGTCTGGCTCCCAAAGCAGATTGTTTTTAGAAAAACAGACAAGATGCTTGGGAGGAGTCACGGCTTTGAAAAAGGGTGATCTGAGCTAAAGCTATCGGACACTGACATGGAGTAAACTTCTGAACCCGAGGTCATCCGGAGGGTGACCCCTCCTCAGGAGACCTGGGGCAGGAGGAGGGGTGGGCTGTGGCCTGGACTGTCACTCAGTCACTTCTTAGTGCCGAAGGTCAGGGGAGCAAACTCACTTCAACAGACTGGGAATGGGACGCAAAGGCAAGATGTGACTGTGCGCCGGAGGCCCAGTCTCCATGAGAGCAGAAAGCAGCCATCACCTCTGCTCGCCATCGCTCAACATGTTTAGGATCTAGAACGGGACAAGAGGCTACCATGTGCTCATTTGCAAGTCACTGATTTCTGGGCAGAAGCTGTAAGACTCTTGGGTATGCAGAGGAGGAAGGAAGTGAGGAGCTTGCTGGCTGCTTCCCATTGGCCCCAGCCTTGTCTTTGGCTTGAGTGTGGTGGGCTCAACCAATGAGAAACCTGGTAGGCCATGGAAGAGAAAGGGCATTTCTTCAAGGCTTCCCGTAGCTCTGCCCTACTGTTTATACATTAGTTGTTCTTCCTGCTTTGTCCTGTAAGGCTAGGGTGGCTAGCTCTTTCCTCACGACGCTCTGCTGACTACTGATTAGCTCCCATTCATGTCTCCATCCATTGTTGGGACATCTGAGCTGGTGAAACTCACTGGGCACAGGAAGCAGGAGCCATGAAATAAACAGTATCTAAAATACCCTGCCATTTACTGGGCAAAATTTCACACTGAAACCTGAGACAGCGTGTGTGTCAAACAGAAAATCCACATATTCTTTCAAAATAAATGGACCTTTCAGAGTACTCCATCTTTAAACCCATGAACTGTTTTCTGGGCACTCCTTTCTCCTTTGTTGTCTACATTCTTCAGGGATAAAGGTTAGGGATAGCTGCCTTGCTGGGAGAAGAGGAACGGAGACCGCTCAGCTGGGTCTCCTCTTTGTAAATGGGAGAAAGAATAGAGTGACTCTCTTCACTGTGTCAAGACGGTTAGTCTTTCGAGCTGCAGAGGCACCAGTGACGAGGAAGAGCAGTGTGTGTGTGTGTGTGTGTGTGTGTGTGTGTGTGTATGAGTGTGCCTGTGTGTGTGTGTCTGTATGAGTGTGCCTGTGTGTGTGTGTCTGTGTGTGTGTGTCAGGGAGGTGGGGTGGGAGCGTGAGAAGGACTCAAGAGGCAGGAATGCAGATCAGTGGCCCAGTGCCTAAAGGAACAATATAATCCCAACAGTAGTCACTGCTAGGGAATCGTCCTTCCATGTTTACAGTCCAGAAATCTGGCCATTTTCAAAACAGTCATTCTTTAGGGGAAGGTCCCATTCCACAGTCAGCCACACTGATACCAAAGAACGGTCACTGTCAGAGAAGCGCCATTTATTTAAGGTGGAAAAAGAATAAGTTTATTTTCTTCCTTGGCAATGCTAGGCAAAGGGTCTCTCTCTCTCTCTTTCTCTCTCTCTCTCTCTCTCTCTCTCTCTCACACACACACACACACACACACATGAACACGCATGCACACACATGCACGCACACACATGTGCACATGCGCGCACACACACTCACACACAGAACCCCTAAAGGAATGCATATACAAGGAGAAGCTTCTGGGCTCCTGGGTAGGGCAAATGCCAAGTGACTGTGGGGAGCTACAGTTGGCAGGGGAATGTGCCAGGGCCCCTCCAAGCACTCACTCTGTTCAGATCCCCCTCTCCTTCACTGCCCTCCAATATCCTGACTCTGCTAAACTTTGACTGAAAACTAGGTTTCAAGGCCAAAACCAACATTTGAGCATTCCTGGTTCAGATGAGCTTTTGGTTCACACACCAGCTGCAGCTATGAACACATCACATGCCTTTCACTCTTCCATAGCAGTGTGATTGTTCTTAAATGCATTTCTAGCCTTTAATTTCAGCACTTGGGAGACAGGGGCAGGCGGATCTGAGTTAGAGGCCAGTCTGGTCTACAGAGTGAGTTTCAGGACAACCAAGGCTACACAGGAAACCCTGTCCCGAAAAACCAACCAACCAACCAACCAACCAACCAAATGCTTTTCTGTTAGAATGTAGGAAGCTTGTTCTTCTCACAGTCCCAACCAGAATAACTTTCTTTCCAATCACTTAATTCCTAAAGACCAGGTAGGCACTGTCAGAGGCACCGGAAGTTGGTCAGAACCAGAGAGATGATTTGCTTACCTGCTGTCCCCAGCATTGGCCACATACAGCTTCCCCAGAAGACACAGCACAATGAGGGCGGTGCAGCCGCCAGATATGTTATATGCACTCCTCTCTCGTTCTATTTGGAGGTCCTGGAGAAGAAAAGAAAGTTAGTGTAATTGCGCAGGACTTGCGACTAAAGGAAATCTTCCTCCCTCCACTCTTGATGTCTGGATGTGCTTCCAGAAGGGACAGGCAGTCCTCAGAACCTGCTTTCCTACCGCCTGCAGGGGTGCTCAACCTTCCCAACACTGCGACCCTTTAATACAGTACCTCATGTGCGGTGGCCCCCCAGCCATAAAATTCTTTGCTACTTAATAACTGTCATTCTGCCACTGCTATGAATCGTAATGTAAATATCTGATATGCACGCTCTCTGATATGTGATCTGTGTGAAAGGATCATCTGGCCCCTTAGGGCAGGCATTATCCATAGGTTGAGAGCCACTGACCTAATGTACTTCTCTGGAGAACACGACACAAATACCAGAGCACGGCAGACCAGAGACTGGAACTGAGGGACCACACAGAGATGTAGCAGGCAAATTAGGGAAGAGGAGAATGCAAATCCAGTTAACAGATGCCACAGCTTATGGGAATCTAGTCTGCGTGGGTTCCTGAATTTTCACGTGGGGTACAGAGGAAGGCAAGGAATGCCAAGTACCTGGACATAAACCATGGTTTTAATGCAAAGCCTCGAATAAGTGGTTCTTTTATAGCTTGATAGAAAGAGGTGACTGAAAGGGAGAACTGTCTTCTATTCAACACCTATGTGTCTGAACGCAGTTCCTCCTCTGCAGCCACAGAACACCACGGGGCACACTCCCAGCTTTGGAGCAGCCCACAGACACTTTCTCCCCACCAGGCATTGGGCTAAATGCCGTGCATGTGCAATCTCACTGTGGCCTCAGGACCATCATGATTAACTATGCTATTCAGATGCAGAGAAGCGGGGACACTGCCCGTATTTACAGAGATGGAGAGTAGATTCTATTTAATACCGCTTCTCTTTCCAGACCAGGTACCGCCTGCTATGAATGAAGCACTCTCAGAACAATTAAAAGCAGACCAACATTTCTGTTGATAGACAGTGTCAAGACCGTTCTGTGTTGCTGACAGAATCAAATGATCTGTGTTTTCGGGAATACAGGCGTTGAGAGAAGTGTTATTTCGACACCGAAGTCATCCACTGTTGAGGCAGAGGGAGAGAGAACGTGGGTGGGGTAATGGTGCCTGTACTTCTGAGAGGTACTGGGTACTTCTGAGACTCTCAGAATCTGGAATTGGAGTTAGGGTCTTCAATCATTTCCCGCACTGAACAAGGGAGAATGTTTAGTCACCTGGCACTGGCCTACAACGGCTACGCTCCAGGCGTTAGGGATGGTGATGGAGCAAACATCAATAGTTTCTCAAGTTGAGGGCACTGAGTAGAGCAACAGCTACTCAAAGAGAAGGCAGAAGATGGACCTGGCTCTACAGGCCTGCAACTCTTGCATGCAGAGCATGATGCAGAAGGGCTAAGAGTTCCAGGCTGACTAGGATTATATGACAAGACTCTGTATTAAAAAAAAATAGAGAAAAAAACATACTAAGACAGGATGGAGAAACCAACGTACAGGAAATGAAACAGGCGAGGGGCTGAGGAGCCATGGTAAGGGCTGGTATGTGTGTGTGTGTGGGGGGGATGTGGGAGTTTAAGACAATTGAGGAGCCTCTGCAGAAGTGACGGCAGCTTCGAATACTGTAGAGGGGTCAAGTATGAGGATTGTATAGAGGACTACGTTACTTACAGAAATGCTATTGAGAGGGTTGAATTAGAAGGTATGGTGGAGGTGGACTTTAACCACAGGCACCGGATTCCTCCCACAGTGTGGGAAGTCCACAGTTGCAGGCAACGGCCATTTTTGTTGCTTTCAGACCCTCAACATCTGTATCAGGCCAGGTAAACCTTGGTTTAGGTAAGTGTCTGTTAGATGGACAATTAAAGAGATACACTTAAAAAAGAAAAGTCTGGATTTCTGAACATCTTCTCACCACTTTACCTATGGCAGGAGAAATGGAAGCTACTCTCCACAATCACCACATTTACCAGGCAGACGTGCACTGAGACACCAACGTGGCCAGAACCCTTGATGCAGCTGACTGCCGGTGGACAAGAGGAAAGGGTTCTGACATCTCGTGCCACAGATGGCAGGAAGCTCAAGGTAAGAGGGCTGGGGGCGGGGCTCTCTCAAGGGAGAGGAGGGAGAGGGGAGAGAGAAAACATCAAGAGACCTGGTTTTTCTTTTACTTTTAGAACAGAAAGAATCCTTTGATGGGTAAACTTGCTAATTTTTTTTGTCATAAAGAACTAAAATGGTTGCTATAGGTACATTTTAGAATTAATAAGTATATGCACATTTAACACATAATAAATAAATAAACTGGTATATCCAAGTCCACATCCAACATTACTGTTTTTAATATACTGAAAAGCACGGATTTAGCTATGGAAACTTCCTTCACAGTTGCAATCGATATTTGTTTAAACATGTAAGTCCGAATGAAGGGCACTATTTATTAAAAATTCCTTAAGCATCCAAGTGTTTGCATGCTGCATACGGACTGGAATGTGAATGGCGTTTGACAGGTTTAAGTGAATTATTAGTGTAATCCGGAGGGGGGGGGGCTATAGTACAAAGGATCAATGTTAAAGGCAAAGAATTTCCTAGGGACTGAGGTAAATAAGTTTATTCTGAACCATAGGTGTGTGCATTACTTATCATGGTTTCTAATGTAAGAATGGCTGATTTTAAAATTATTTAATCCTTGGAGGGGGTAATCAAGTCAACGTCCAGCAATAAGATGTTCTGTTTGTTTTAACAGCAAAGTTCATATTTACTTTTAATGGGGAACATTTTGGTTAGTTTAGTCAGCTCAGACTTTAGTATAAATTAACTGTATGGTGCACATGTTCACACACACACACACACATGCACACACACACACACATACACACACACTTATTTAATTTGTTCCTTCCTCCTTTTGTTACATTTCAATCATACTTTTTTTTTCTGTAGCTCCCTCTGGATAAGGCATGCTACTTTCTTATTAAAAAAAAAAAGTGGACTCAAGTCTAACTATTTTTGAATCCAAGAAACCCTGCTGCCACGTGCATGTTCTGACCAGCCCTTCCCCCACATCCACGAGGAAATACATATGTGCACACGCGGTAATCACAAGTGTGCTCTCCGCCAGCACTATCACCGGGATTTAAAAGGCCTGCTTCTGCAGAACTCCTCCCCCCTCCCCGAAAAATTCACTGGCATTAACACACCCTCTTCTATTCTCCTAGAGCTATGAGCAACTAGAACAGATTCTAAAAATAATTGCTTCATTCCCCTCCTCCCTAGAAGCCAAAATAGCACATTTATTTTTTCCTGCACACACCACCTACTCCTCTCTAAAAGATTCAGAAGATCTTTGTACTGAAAGGAACATTAAAGGGCCATCTGTGTGGCTCTTTTACTATGAGATTAAACATGATAAATGCAGTCAATAAAGATATATTTACCATGGAATTAACTGCCTTTCCCCTTCGAAATCCTCAATCTTTCAAATTACCCTAAGCCGTTTACACTTTAGGTATTAAAAAAAAAATTCCACAATGTCTAACAATTTTTTTAAGCCCCCGAGTTTTAGGTGATTCCCCCCCGCCCAAGCCAATATGATCACGAGAAAAGCTGTCTACTGCTGGGTGCTAGGAGCACAAGGACTCTCCATTTCAGCTGCCAGTGAATTCCAAGACCTACATCTAGAATAACTTGCTAGCAAAACAGCTACATGCCATCCTTCCTTCCAAGTGTGGGCTAAATGCTAACAGACCATGGAAGTGACTCACTGACTGGCCTGCTCAGTCCAGGGTCCTGATGCCCTCAAAGGCAGCTTTCTGCCGCGTGAAGCTGTGTTGTTCCGTGTTGCAACTGCTTAGGGGCCCATTTAGGTGAGGCTCATCTCTGAATCAAAAAGAAAAAAGACCCAATTCTTAGGCTATAGGGTTTATCCACTCTTTTGTTGGCATTGTAAGGAGCAGGAACAGAAGATACACATATGTGTGTAAAATGAGACTCACTTGATAGGAAAGAATTTCAAGGAAAAAAAAATATTTATCACCCAGAATGGTTGCTGTTTGATTTAAAAGTTTCAGAGATGATGCAACTCCAGGCTCAGTCTTTGCTGCTCACCAATTCCAGGTTATGAAAACAAAAAAGTACGATTGGTCAGAAGAAAGTCGGTGCTGGGCAGTTTTAATATACCTGGCAGCTCCCCCTGGCTGGGTTCTAATATGGTTCTGAGCACACCGCTAATAGTGTCAGTCACAAGTAATAAGATTCTGCATGGCTTTAGTATCCGGGTCTCATCCTGGTTTATTCTGAGAACAAGGCCATCTGCCTGCTAGGCAATGAGTTCCATTAAAAAAAAAAAAAAAAAAAATCTAAACCCAGTACTGTCCAATATCGCCACCTGCTGATTGTCGTGGAATATTCCAGACCCATCCACCCCTAAAAACTTCCTGTGGCAACAGAAACAAAGATGAAACAAAACCAAGTTTCAATAAAGAAGCTTGAGTTAGAAACTTACCATGCATACGCTAATTGGAATTCTAGAATTACTAAATTAGTAAAATCTTGGCATTCATTCTCATGTTTCTATAACATTATTATATGTTTTTTCCCCCAACCATTTGTCAGTAATAGAAGATGTAGAGCAGTTTTACCAGGTAAAATATTGTCAATTTTGTGGCTGAAGAGATGGCTCAGGGGTCAAGAGCACTGGCTGCTCTTCCAGAGGAGCAGGTTCAATTCCCAGCATCCACGTGACGGTTTTCAACCATCTGTAACTCCAGTTCCAAGGGGGCTTCAACACCTTTCAGGAGACCGCACGCATGTGGTGCATAGACATACATGCAGACAAAACACCCATACACATAAAAAAAAATAAATTCAAAACCTAAACACAATTATCTCCTTTACAAAAAGCTTTGAGGACATTCTTTTTGGGGCAAAGAACTTACAAGCATACTGCTACTCCAAAAACCGGGGTTCCCTTTCGGGTTCTTCGTCTCCTCAATAAAAGAATTTTATTTAATTTTAGAAACAGACTCAGAAGAAGGAAGCTCCAGGACAATTTGTTTTTAGACTCTGAGAGGAAAACAGCAGGGCAGGCTGCAAATCTTGGCAGATGGGCAAGAGCGAAGAGAGAAACTCAAGTCTTTCTGAGTTAGGGTCCAAGGCTGCCATGCTCAGCAATGAAAGCCGGCAAACAGCTGCAAGGCAGAAGGCGAGAGGGACTTGGGAGAGAGAGGGAAGAAACCCTGCGTATCAGGAAAATATACCAGGTTTGATGGAGAAAGAAGAAAATGGAGGAGTGGGCAGGTCCTGTACTGAGGGAAGAAGCACTTTGGCTACATACATCATTTTATTAAGCAGAGACTCATTCCTTCCAGAGCCTTAGCGTACCATTGGGTGAATCACATCTCTGTGAGTCAGGCGTTTGGCACCCTGAGCTAGGCTAACTCTCAGGGAAGGAGACAATGGATGTAACGGTCTAATTTTTTGAGCAGATGAGAATGTCAAGTCTTCAAGCAGGACCAGAGGTGGATTCCATTCTTTTGGCTAAGAGAAAAGTGCTTAACAGCCCTCAATGAAACTCTGGTACCTGCATCTTTTTATATAAGTTAAAATACTACAGTGGCCCATTGCGATTTTTCCCTCTCCAGGGCTAGCTGGGAAATGGCCAGTGAGGTCCAAAGTCGGCCATGAGGGAGGGACCCATCGTCAATAGCCTCCAAGCCCCCAAACACCTATCTACCTAGCTACCTACCGATACCGAAAAGGAGTAGGTGAGGATTCTGAGATCCTCTTAGCTTCATCCTGAGTTTAAATCTTGCAGGTGCTAAGCTGAAAGACTTGTCAGTTCAGTGTGGACTTGGTTTTGATTCTTGGAGAGCCACCCTAGTGATGGAATTGACTTCCTCTATGAGTTCAAAGTATCGTCTATTCAACATGAACCCTCTTTTTAGATGGCAGGGGCGGGGGCGGGGGTTGAAATTAACTCAGAACATTTGCTTCATTCACACCTGTCATCGTGGGCCAGGAAACACCCCGGCTGCTAAGGGGTCAGAAAGCCACTGTTGGAAAGTGGACTGGAACCCATTAAGCTGGAGACAAGGAAGGGGGGAAGGGGGCTGCGTTTATCATTTCAAAAAATCCCCGATTTTGCTTTGAGACAAAAAATCTCCCAAAAACTGACTACTAGGAGAAGCAGGAAAGAAGAAGGATTTTATATGTGAGGCAGCAGTCACCTTTAGGCTATTATTTTGAGGGCACTGGCATGCGTTTTATGCTGTCAGTTCTGATGCTCACACCAAACAACCAGTGGCTAAGCTCCTGAGGGTCTCCCTTAGGAGACCACAGTTTGGCTTTCACAGTAGAAATAGGAGGGACTGGTTTCATGGCCTTCCCAGTAGGAAGTCAGATCCAAGACATGGTACAACAAAAGCTAAAATTGTCCCTGACAACACTACAAGGTGGTGGTCAGGGGTCACCTCCCACACACCTCACCCTGTGCAGGCAGCCTGCACATCAAACACGCCAGAAAAGGTCCAGAGGAGCATAGAGCGCCTGCTAGAATTGCTGTCACTGAAGGGCCTAATCCAGCCCCCTCCCCCAGCCTCAACACCCCTCTGGCAGCCAATACAGGCTGCAGAAAAGACCTAGCAAGATGTAGGCCCTTGACTCAGCAGAATGTGCTGAGCCCCCACCTAGCCAGACCTTGCCCAACCTCGCCCTAAATACTGGGAGGATCAGAAGGTAGCTGGCGGGCTCTGGCTGTGCTTTTTGGATAATGATGGAACCGGTATTCCCCACCCCCATCCCCACCCCCAGGTAGAGCAACTTTTCCACAGCTGCAGCTGACCAATCAGCTCTGGACAGATGCCCTCATCCCGGAGATGTGCTAATCCCGAGACTGTTACAATGCAACTAGCAGACCCCCAGATGCTCCCCTTGCTCTATCCCCAATATATACCCTGCCCACTGTAGCTTGGGGTTCCTCCCATTCCACCTGCCGTGCTGGACAGAGGACCCAAGTTAACTCATAATTAAAGAGACTCTGCTTTTGCATAGGATCTGGTCTCTTGGTGGTTTTTTGGGTCCAGATTCTGGGCACAACACTTACCATTTCTTGTTCATGTCATGCCTTTTATTATTATAATTATAATTATTATTATTATTATTTTCATCTACATTCTGTGAAAGCTACCCATGCGCCCTAGAGACAGGTGCTCCTTGCTCCAGCTTGGAATTTCCAAACCTATGCTGGACTGCTGTCATCACTGTGTTACTTCCTTGGATGTCATTTAGAACAACAAAATCACTGAGCTACCAATGGCGCGTTGCTCCAGGGGTTACTAGCCTTTAAAGACACTGTGGAATAGGCACTGTCTTCTTTCTCCCCGGGGGACAGGACCAAAGGGAGACAACACAACTACCCCTCCTTAGGCCTCCTGATCAAAAGGATGGAAGCTACTCCGGCTCTGGGTAGGGAACTCTTGTCTGATCTGCTCCGAAGACAGAACGGTGCATCCCACTGTCTACTCCTCAGGGGCAGCTCCAGCAGGGCCTGTCAATCCTCTGGCCAGGAGACTAACCCCAGGAAGTCCAAGTCACAAGCTAAGGTGATGGGAGGAATAATTGTCCCCCTAATTAGATAATGCACTAACCATTCCCTCTCAGGAGCATGACTCTGAGCTTACAGAGACCCCCCACCCCAGCCCTGTTCTACCTGCCTGCTCTCGTGAGTTCTAACTCAAACCCAATTCTTCCTTTTCTCTTTCCCCCCTCCCGTTTCTATTTCACTTGTTGAATACCCAACTTTTCTATTTTTATTCTATGTTCTACTCCCATTCAAGCTTGACAAAGAGTTGTTTCTCAGCAACTATTTACTGACTGAATGTATTACATAAAAGTGACGTATCTATTTACACACACACACACACTGTTTTCACAAGAAATTTCAGGCAGTGAACTGACTAACGGTGAAAAACTTGAAAAGACAAACCTTGGGTTCCTTTTCTTAGGTGTTTACTTGAATAAGCTTCACACTTCAAGGGCTGCTGTCGCTAGGGAGACCTTCCTCAAGGCGATACTGGCCTCTAGTGGCTGGGATTGAGAAGACAGCCGTTCCAGGCAAAAGATGTTTGGCAGCCCGAGCAACCATGGATGGAAATGAAAGCCCACCATGTCCCCTCACCCCCCATTCCAATTCCTTCTCTCGTTGCAGGGAGGGGTCACCGTCAAGTTGTTGTCTCTGTTAAATGTTCAGGGTCCTGTGCATCACTGTGTCCTGTGGCACTCACCCACACTCGAGCATCATCTACACCAGCCCAAGTGACGGTCTCACACCAAGTCTCTGAAGGACTCCCGGGCTTCCCCCTAAATCACCCCTTCCAGAGGAGGTGCATTTTTAAGTCCCCACTAACCAAAGGGCAAATATGTGTGTTCAGAGATGAAAACACCAAGAAGGGATGAGCTGGAGTCACAGATAAATTTGAGGTATTCGTATGCCCGCACGCCAGAGAAGGGCGCCAGATCTCATTACAGATGGTTGTGAGCCACCCTGTGGTTGCTGGGAATTGAACTCAGGACCTCTGGAAGGGCAGCCAGTGCTCTTAACCACTGAGCCGTCTCTCCAGCCCCTAATCTTCAGGTTTAAAAAACACTCCTGCCCCCTGGCCTCCCCCAAGCCCTTCCGAGCATCCTTAAGTAGTCCACACTCTGCCCGTACATAGGCTGCTGCTCAGGGAAGAGAACCTTGGGAGCCACAACACTTGTCTCAGTAAACGGTGGAGTCAGAGCTGGCAGGAGGTCACACGGGATACAGCATCCTAGACCATTCTGCTCGGTGTTGGGATAGCCAGGGTCACTCTGCCAGGGTACCCGCTCAGGAAGCAGGCCAACATATAGGATGCTGAATTCTGTGACCAGACCCACTCAGACAGCAAAGGATAAAGGGTTCCAGGCCCTGGAAAGTCGAAAGTCACGTGGCCCTCTTTCTTCCCCTCAGTTGTTCCCCAGGCAGTATCTGTTGACCAGAATAAATTACACCACTGGCTGACCCATCCCCCTCACTGCTCCTTTTTTTTTTTTTTTTTTTTTTTTTTTTGGTGGTGCGGGTTGTTGAGACAGGGTTTCTCTGTAACTTTGGAGCCTGTCCTGGAACTCGTTCTATAGACCAGATTGGCCTCGAACTCACAGAGATCCACCTGCCTCTGCCTCCCGAGTGCTGGGATTAAAGGCGTGCGCCACCACTTCCGGTTAATTCATTGTGTAGCCTTGGTGTCCTGGAACCCGATACATAAACCAGGGTGCCTTCAAACTCATAGAGATTCACCTGCCTCCACCTCCAAGTGCTGGGATTAACTGCGCATGCTACACCAGTCTGCACTCATGTTTAAAGGTAAGGTACTTCCAAGTGCCTTACCGAACACGGTTTCCTAAACACCTGAACTTTGTACGTGTTAAGCAGATGGCAGCCATGTTCACATTGCAATTAAGCTGAACCGTACCATACCAGCTGGCGTCAACAGGAGTCTTACGAAACAGAAGGGATAGGGTGTACATTTAATAAGCAGAGGGCATCCCTGTGCTCATCCTCTCTCGCGGTCTTAATTTCTGCTGGTAATCGCTCCAGAAACTGTATCTTGCTGTGACTTTTTAATCAGCCTTGTTGTGTAAGAGAGATGAACATGCTGGAGAAGGCAGGAGGAACACGAGCAGTTTCGGGGACAACTTGCTAGCAAGAAAGCTTTGGCTTGAGCTACCCCAGTTGTCCGTGGTACGTACCATTTCCTTGAAGGCGCTCTCCAGGGCCCCAATGACCAAACACTCATGGGGGATCTTCTTTTCAGTGAAGAAGCGTGTGGGCGGTGTGCTAGGGGAGCCGGGGGCCCCCACGCCTCCACGCAGTGAGGCTGCGCGGGTTAGGGTCCTGCCGTGGACCGGCGTGCTCTCGGGCTCCTCCCCTAGGCAGGTTGGGGGAAGGATGGCGGAGTTCTTCAGGATCTCCACGATTTCCTGGAGCTGCTGTGTGATGTGGTGCTGCAGCAGGCGCGATGCCACCACAGCGGCCCCCGAGCCGGCGTGACCATCAAACAGAGACCAGTAGTGGCAGGAGATGCCCTCGGACTCCTGCAGAGAGAGGGCGACAGGAGAGACATGAAGAGCTGAATAGTGGTCTCTGCTGGACCACGCACAATCCAGTAGGATGTCTATCTTTGTCTGATAATGGAAGATAATGGAATCAAACACAGTGAAAACGCAGAGAAGGGCCCTTAAGTTAGTCACTGCTACCACCAAACACCCTTGGGATGAAGTGGTCCCAGCCTCCCCACCTCGGGCAGGAGCTCTAATCATCAACCACTAACTAGGTCACCACTTGGAAGAAAGAATGTGACTCTAATTGAACACTGAGAGTCTGTGATGAAATTCCATATAAAAGGTGGAGCCTATAGAAGGAGTCCGGCTTTAACATTTAACTTCTGACCTCCAAGAAATTGTAATCCCGGACTAGGTTTGGCCTTGGAGTCTTTGGACAGAGCCCTTGCCTAACCTAGTGAAGAACTGTTTTCCTCTCTCAGTGCCCTGACCCTGAAACAATTGTCTCTTCTTCCTTATTCTATATCCTGAGCTTTTAAGACATGCTTTTCTGCTAACCCAGAAGCAAGTCCAGTCCACACAAGATGCAGCCACTAAAAATCCGCTTTCCCTATGCCACCTCCCTCAAATTACCCAACTAATGTCATCTGTATTCCTTCTTCTATCATGGATTTAGTTTATGCCAGGGGCTACTCTGTGTGTGTGTGTGTGTGTGTGTGTGTGTGTGTGTGTGTGTGTGAGTGAAATCACACATGGGCTACATGTGGAGGCCAGAGACGGACACAGCGTGTCTTCTGTTGATGTCCACTTTTTCACAAGATTGATTTGTAATCAATCAAGGTGTGTGTCTGTTGTGCACGTGAGTGTGGTCATCCAAAGGTCAGCAGCATCAGTTGCTGGGTAACAAGCAATGGTTAGGTGTCTGAACTGGGTGTTGGGAACGGAACTGCGGTTCTGTGCAGCCCCATCCATTGCATTTTTTGGGGACAGGGTCTCTCACTGCACCTGAAGATTGTAGAAGCTCAGCGCTCAGTTTTAAGCTAACCCGGCCGAGCAGAAGGTCCTAGCTCCGTGTCCCTCCAGCACTGGGGTCCCAGGCACAACGCCACACCCAGCTTTTAGGTAAGTGCTGGTCTGCATGCTCGCACAGCAAACACTTCAGCCCACCAGGCCGTCTTCCCAGCTCCTGCCAGTATTCCGACTTCTTTCAGATGAGCACGTCTAGAAACCATACAACTAAGTTCCACATGCAAGCTAGGCATTGCGTCAGACACCTGCAACCTGTACATGGAATGAGTGTAAGCTCATACCAATCTGTTATCCCATCCAATTCCGAGGTGCATGAAGAGGTCTGTCTTCAAACATCCCTAGAATCCACAAGCATAACATGTATACAACAGGCACTAGAGTAGACAGGAGTAATAAAAGATTGCCCATAAAAGGTATCAGGCATGCTGGGCATGGTGGCGCACACCTTTTAGGCCAGCACCGAGGAGGCAGACAGATTTTCTGTGACTATGTGGCCAGCCTGGTCTACACAGTGAGTTCTAGGACAGCCAGGGCTGATACACAGAGAAACCCTGCCTAAAAGCCCCTCCCACAAAAAAAAGAAAAAGAAAAAAGTATTTTAATAATCCAGTGTGAAGTCATCCAAATCAATAGGAGGCCAGTGCTGCAGGAAGACAGTCTTCGGGTTGTGAGGCTCGGGCTGAGAGCTTCAGAGAAATTCATGTATAAAAAAGGGAGGGGACACAACAATAGACAACAGTAAGGGCAGGGGCAGAGAGCAAGTAGCAGCAGAGTACCATCCCACAGTCATGTGACCCAATGGGGCGTGAGAAAGGAAAGGAGGGAGCTCTGTGGCTGTGTGGAATGACAGTAAGGCTACCCGGTCCTTAGAGTCTACTCACGGGACTGCAGGGAATGGCGATAAGGCCACCCAGTCCTTAGAGTCTACTCTAAGTGTTTTGGCCTTCAGCACGAGAGTCACAAAAGGTCATCCATGGAGATGGCGTCACTCAGGCTACACTGTGATATGAGAGGAGAGTTTGAAAGTGATGGTCCCTGCAAGGAATCTGCGCCCCCCAAAAGAATTCAAACAAATCCAGACAGAAACACATACGCTAAAAGCACTGATTAGAAGTTTAGTTGGAAATCGAACTCAGGACCGAGGGCAGTAGAAAGGAAAACGCCTTAAGGGTCAGATGTTTGGGTGTTAACGCCACTTCCACACACATTACCTGGGTGGAGGATGGCACCGGTTCAGCCATGGCTGGGTCAGCTGTGGTGCGGCAGTCAAAAGTGTGCATCTTATCGCCATGATTTCCTGATGTGAACTGACGGCGATATTAACCTTATGTGTGCGGGGGAGGGGGGAGTTAAGGGGACTATACACAGCGTGTGTTGAGTGACATCTATGTACAATGTACTGCGTACACATGCAGAAGTGGTTGCTGTCCCTACTATCACAACGTGATCATGGGAAGTCATTTACACCTCTACCAAATGAGGGGTCACCTAGAGGAACTCGTGCCTCAGCTGACTCCCCATGTTCTAGAGTGTAGAAACAGATCAGTGTGGCTGAGGAACGTGGGGACAAACTTTACAGCGAGAACATTCATGATGAGGACTTAGAGGTGACAAGGCCTGCTAGCCAGGGCACAGGGAGCACCAAGTGCTCATTCAGTGTCTCCTCTACCTTCTCCCTACTGGTGACTGAGTGGTCAGTGAGATGATCCTTACACATCAGCTCCCAGGCTGCCTTGTGGCAAGTGGCCATATTGCTCCTCCTCTCCCATTCTTCCCACTTCCTGCCTGGGTCCCAGGACCAGTACCTGAAAGCAGAGTTATCCCTTTGCAAACAAACAAAGCTGAAATCTAAAGGCCCAGGATGATGGGGCAGGAAATCGGAAGAGCCTGGGCTCTGGCAGCCTTGCTAGGGAAGCCACAAACCCTGAACCACTCTGACTTTGGGCTTCTAATTACAGGGTTTCGTGGCATCTGGGGAGCCATGCTTGTCAGTTTCTGTGACAAGAGCTGAGGCGAAGAAAGGGTGATGTCTTCATACAGTATTCTGGAGCCCATGGGCAGGTAAAACAGGGAAGGAAGAAAGCAAAACAAGCCAGGTGCAGGCACCAAAAAGACTGTCAAGTAGTAGTAACCTGTGGGAAGCTGAGCTCAGGCCAGGCTTCTCGGTTCTCAATTTAGGGTATCTATGAAGAAAATTCAGAATCCACGAACCTTTATTTTTCACAAACATCCCAAGTTTAGAATTTCCTGTTAGGGCTGCAGGGCAATGATGATCTCAGCAGAACCTTCTTCTCATCCAAAGAACCAATAACACTGCCATTCCAAATACCCTGGATCACTTCCTGCCTTACTGAGGCTTTGAAATTACAGATGTAACCGAGTCCACACCCAAGTTCACGTTTTTTTTTTGTTACACTAATGAAAGATATAACGTCATATCACAAATCATTGTTTTTTTTTTTTTAGAATCACCTTGACATAATTAATTCCCTTGATACATCTACGTACTTTTGCTTTTTAAAAGAGCTGTTTTCGTGTGTATGCACGCAGGTTCACGGATGCCATAGTGTGTGTGTTGAGGCCAGAGGACACCTTTTTGGAGTTGGGTTCTCTCCTTCCACCTTGGTGGGCAGGGTCTCTCTTGTTTTTCTGTATTGAGTGACTGTGTGTGTGTGCTGACCTGTGAACTTCCAAGTGAACTTCCATTTTGCAACAAGGGTGCTGGGATTACAGATGTTCCTCACTGCATCTGTCTTTTTACAGGAGATGGACCTCAGGCTGTCAGTACTTCTAGCTGCCAAGCTATCCTGCCAGCTCTATTTGGTCATTAACTTATTGCATTTAAAAAAGAATCTTGGACGAGAAAGATGGCTCAGTGGTTAAGAGCATTACTGCTTTCCCAGCAAACATTGCCAGTAGTTTCAGCTCCACGGTCTCTGATGCCCTCTTCTGGATGCTATGGGTCCTTGCATGCGCTTATGCACATCCCCACCTGTGACACAATCCACATCATCATCATCATCATCATCATATCTGAAACAAATAAAACAATAAAAATCCCAGCATAATCCTGCTGGCTCTGAGCTAAGTGTCACAGGGCTACACAAAATGTTAAAGAGCCCTTCCGGCTGTGCTAAGAGAAAGCACATAGGGAATGTGCCTGTTCCCAAAGGCAGCAGCCACATACCCTACGTGGCCTGTCTGGCACTAAACGGAGCTTTCTCCTTTATCATGGAGAAGACAGACACCAACCAGGTATTTGATGAGCCACTATAAACCAATAAAGTGACCTAGGCCACTTGCTGGCCACCAGCATGTCTCTAAGAATGGGAGGTCAGGTCCCTCTATTGGTCTAAATAGCCCTTCCCTGGGGCTTCCCTGACAGCCTCACAACCAGAAAAGGGCAGAATAAAAGGGAATTTTGTTCAGTAGTCTAACACCTCAAAGGGCCCATGGCACAATCCTTCTGCATCCATTTTTCCTCCTAAGGGAACTTGGGAAAGAAGACTTGTGTAAGACCCTTCACACCGAGAAGGCCACCAGGACAGCACCAATCTCACTTGTGACCTGGAGCTGACATACTCTCACTGCTGTTGCCCGGACCCATTCGTTCTCTTTCAGCTCTCAGCCTAGGTTGTTACAGTTGTATCTGAGGTCCCAAGATCTCAAAGGAACTCCATGGATCCTCAGACCACATGGCCATCATAGAACCACACTGATACATATAAAACCCACCATACATGCTGCCTGTGACCCTCCCTTCTTGGTGTCTGTATAAAAAAGACCACTAAGACTCCCCAAGCACACTGGACTGTTGGAAACCACAGACTTTCAAAGTCATGGGTCTCATTTCCCTTCAGCTGCTCTGCCTGGCCAGGACTGTACCCTGCTGGTGGCCCTGTACCTTCCTACTGAGTCAGCAAACTAATGGTCTAATGTAGATGGACAGGCAGTCAGGTTCTCTAACTGTGGGTAAGGAGGAAGGAATGAGTGGACACACCAGC